ATACCAAACCGATTGTACATTAGATCTGACTACAGACCTCAAAATGACATTATTCTTGTGGAAAAAGAAAATACCAAACATCCATGGATATTCCAGTTATTACTAATCCATTAAACCAGAAGGAAAAAAGAAAAAAACGAAATTCTGGGGTTTCTGGGGTTTTGCCAAGAATTGCACCATCTCATCAAGGGAGTTGGCCTTGGGGATACTCAATTAGGGTTCCCACAGCACGTGGATGTTTCAGGATTCTTAATTCTCTAAGAATAACTCGGGCAGGATTGAATCCTTTGAGAGAATATACATTGAATGCATGTAGTAGACTTATTAGACCTATCAAACCTCATAGACCCAATAGACCAACTACCTAAAATGAACAATAACCGCCCAACTCTAAATCTGGAATTCGCCCACATTGCGTGCTTGCACTGTCTTGTCAAGCACACAATCCGTGTGAAATGTGGTACAGGGTCCGTCTAGCGGTCAGAAGAATCTATATAAACCTTGATCTGTCTCTAAAATTTCCTTTCGATATTGCGTATATCGTATAAAATTTTGTCTATATAAAACTCAAATTCGCCTCCTCGTTCCGAATTTTTGCCGAATATTATTTCTTCCCCTACTTGGCTTCAATTTCTTACTTCCCTCAAATTTCGATTATTTTGAGTCATAAACCAGATCCATAGAGGCCTTGAAACAATGACGATTACAACAGCAACCCCGGTCCTCGACAATGCAGTCCCAACTACAAAAAGCCTCCCAGACAAGGGCAAAGACCAAAAGGTCCCAAGCTTGACTCAACTCGTGCATCATAGTCATGTCACCACAGAATTTGATCCCTTGAGATTTGAAGCTGCCGCATCATTGCAGCTGAAATTGCAGCTTGAGAAGCAATACCCAGAAACAGAAACAGACACGCGACTCATTGCATCGCCTTACAACAGCGTCCCTCATCTTCTGGACATTTCTGCTCTGGAAAGACAAGACCGACTCTTCGCATTGGCATTGGCATATCTTAAACCCATCCGCGACGACTATGCCACCGCTGAATACACGGAATCATTCAATTGGACAGAGGTGTATGATTTGTTGAAAAGGTTCTCACAGGCAGAGAACCACACGTGGAAATCACAGTCGTATTATGTTGTTATCTTCCGGTCAATCCTGTTGCCGGATATCGACTCGGACCGTCTTTATGATCTTGATGCGCATTCGCACCAGGAGGCCATTGCCAGTGGAGGATTGTTGAAGTATTGGTTTGGAGCAAAGAATGATAAGCACCGGAATTTGGCAACTTGTGAGTATCTGGCTGTTCTCTTTTTGGGGGTTTGATCATGGCTAATCAATTCATCCAGGCATTTGGCGCAATCGAAATGATGCAAGACTTGGAGGTCGTGGACCTTGGCATGCTCAAGCAAGAGCGGCCGCTACAGTAATGTATGAAGAGATTCGGTTCACTACGCTAAGGTTGGATATTGAGGATGGAGTGCAGTCTTGGAAGCTGAGTGATTGGAAGGAAGACGCATAAAGAGCATGGTTTACATTGGCAAGAATAGATTATGCATTTGACTGGAGTTTAGACTGGCATGATATTGCGGGCCTGGACGGAGTATATCTTCATGGATTGCATTTTATTTAGGGTTTTGTTACAACCCGACGTGTTTACAAGGTGGTGCGCCTTTCTAAATGACTTGTATTACCTTACAAACTTCTTATGCCCATTCACTTTCTCTCATAATTGTATCACGCTGGATAGAATCAAATCAGAATCTCTAGATAGGATAAAAACTGTCAGTACTATTAGTTTGCATCTAGGCTTAGGTACGAAAAGTACTAAGCCTAGCGCTTAAAAGCTTGAGCTTTATCTCCCTGATCCGAACCTTCCGACATGAGCATACTGATTATCGGCCAATTAAACGAGTAGAAGATGACAGAGAATAGGAGAAAGGCAAATTCGCTCTATTTGTTGGTGAGCGCTTCTGTATACCCACTGCGCTAAGGATGTTTTTTCTTTGTCAAAATATGTTGGAGGGCATGGGCCCCCATAGTGTCAGGACTTTATAGTTCGATAGGCCCCTCTTACCTTCTATCCCTTTCCCTCCCCTTGTCCGAAAGTTTCCATTGATAGTGCTTTTAACAAAACCCCACGTATGACTATTGGTTCAGAACTAAGGCACTGGAAACTGTTTCAATTGGGATAGCTAATAAGTTATGATAGTATCCTGGCAACAGCCAATTACACAGTGTTGCACAGAGGCACTTGCTGCTTGCGCAGTTTGCTAGACCTCTCTCTTTACTTTTTTCGCAGCTTTGTTGCTTTGATTCCATTAAGCTATAAAAATGGCTCCATGGTAGAGTGTTCTCTATATTTAGCAATATATCAATCACTTCTTGCTTTCTCTACCTTTTTTCTATACAGATAGTTATGATTCTAGCTCCAAAAAAAGACATCCCAGACATGCAAAGTCAAGATATCCACATATATTGAAGTTCCTCTACATCAGCGGTATGTGGACGATAGAATATAGATGAATTGCTTCTCTTTCGTGAGACCCCTATGATATCCTCCCAAGAAGATGCAGTACCTGAAGGGGATGGCCAAGAATAGACCCCCGTCTCCATACATAGCACAAATTGCGCTTTACTTAGAAACAGCTATGCTCCATGTAATTTCAAAATATTCCCGATGTAGTCAAATTATGTACGACTTACACGTGTCATAGAGCAGCACAAGATAATTTTGGAAAAGCAAAAGAGAAACCTTCCCCGCGGATCAACATTGGCACCTCCACATTTCGTCAAAAAGGGGAATGAACTCCACCCCCAATCGCGGGGAATATTACTCTTTACTCTTGCATCTCCAAGCCATCTGATATCAATGCAGTTGTAAAATCAAACTACGTGGGGTATTAGTGTCAGCGTCGATTTATTCGGGTTCTGGTTGGACGTTTCTCTATTTCATGCTTGTGCTATACCCCTCCATGACCACGGACAACCGGCGTGCGAACGAAATAAAATGGCACCGTCCCACCTGTCCCAACTACCAGAATAATTTCTTCTAAATCCCAATCCAAACACTTGAATTGAACTTGCTCATCACATCCAACATGGTCGGCGTCCAAGTAGACAACCTCGCAGTCAACGACGGCCCCTTGACAACAGAGAACGCCACCCTCCTCCGCCCCTCAGAGCCAACTCTCCCCCTCGAAGAACTCCGCAAACGCTATGAAGAGGACGGCTATCTCTTACTGAAAGGAATCCTCCCCCGCAAGGATGTCCTTGCCGCCCGCGATGCATACTTCTCCTCCCTAGAATCAACAGGAGTCCTGAAGCCCGGCACAGCACCTGTCGAAGGTATTTTCGACCCTGCTAAGGACCATCTAGACTACCCTGGTATTGGAGCAGGACACGTTGGCGGGAACGGCAAGCCCGGTGGTGAGCGAGCAGCGGCCTTTGTTGACCTTGCTCTCGATGCACACTACCAGGACTGGTACGCGAAGGAGTTCTGTAACCACCCAGCGTTATATGATTTCATTGCGCGCTTCTCGGGTTGGGGAAAGAATACAATGAACTTGCGTCGCACACTTCTCAGAAACAATCTGCCTGGATCAAAGCCGATCGGCGTGCACTATGATCAGATCTTCTTGCGCTATGGGGATCCGACGAGTATCACTGCTTGGGTCCCCATAGGAGATGTCAAGCTCAACGGAGGTGGATTGATTTACTTGGAGGATGGTTTGTTTTGGCCCCCTTATCTTTGGTTAAAGTTCCCGGAGAGAGCTTTGTATACTGATTGTGTTTGCATGACAGGTGACAAAATTGGAATTGAGATGGAAGAAGCCTTCTTTACCAAAGCGAAGCAGGCTGGGCTTACCGACGAGGAGGCTAAGTCGGCTTTCAACTCGAATATGATGTCAACGGGCCTGCTCTCAGAGTTCCCGACTGAGTTCGCTCGGGAACATGGTCGACGATGGATGGTGTCGGCGTATGAGGCAGGTGATGCGGTGTTGCATAAGCCTCATATGGTGAGCTGCTCATTATTTACACGGAAAGCCGGATTATGCTGACAATTTGTTCAAGATCCATGCTTCCACTGTCAACAATGATCCGGACAATATCATCCGTCTTGCGACAGATCTACGGTTCTGCGACTCGTCTAAGCCTTACGATGAGGTAAGTATCCTTAAATGCGTTGTAAGCCCGAGAGATTAATGACAATGGCTTACAATTTATTTACAGAGATGGACGAACTCTTATACATTCAATGACGGTGTATAGGGTGTTATTGGAATGGAGCGAACATCAAGCCCGGGGTCAATATGTTTTATGATGCACGGACTTTCTTTTTAACGATTTGAAAATTTTAGTAGTCTGTGAAATCAGAATGTTTTTTTTATAGCTCTGCTGCAAGACTGTAGAAGAAGGAAGATATGTTGATTCGGGAGAAGTTGCGTAGGAGACAAGTTAAGGCAAGAGCATGCAGAGCATGGTACAGTATCATTCCCTCATTCCAGTCCCTTCTCCTTGGCAGAATCATTATGATCTAACAAGGGCGCACTTGATTCGCAGGAGAATTTTTCTTTGGAATGTGGTCTGTCATTATTGGGATCGACATAGACCCCTAGATCCACCAAGGAATCCTTTGCTCAGGGAAAATTCATTTTGCTACAGTATCAAGATAGGTTCATAAGACAGACTGTTTCTTCAGACCATCTCAGTTGAGAAAGTAAAGTTTGAATTGATCTACAAGAAGAAGAAAAAGGAAGATACACCAGGGATATAAATATCGGCATTCAAATACTATAAAGCCTCATTCCAAACGATAACAGACTGGCATTTCGGTAATTTCGGTAGTCTTCAAAATAAAGCTATGGATCGGCCTCTCAAGCGTTAAATCTTATAATAGTTGTGATGCTTGAAATTTACCTATCCCCTATCCTCAGGGAAGTACCCATCCTCAAGTACCCACCACTTTATCGCAGATACGCTTAAATCCATACAATATGCCGCAAGTTATTCTAAGGGCATCATGGCTCTCAGTCCTGGTGGTGGCACTTCTGGCTGTGTCTATTGTAAACGCGCATCCAATTCAACAGACAGATGAAAAGATCGGAAACGGACAAGTCGTCAAGCTTGAATCTCGATCGCCAGTTAGTCCCTCAGGCATCGCACTCTGTCATTGAAGGAACCACTGCTAACAGAAGCACAGAGACTTATTCCAGACACCCAGAAGTACATCCATAGCCTCTTGCAAGGGTTAGGGTTGGAAGAGCCAACCGCAACTGCAACCTCAACCGCAACCTCAACCGCAACCTCAACCGCAACCTCAACCGCAACACCAACTGCCACGCCCACTGCCAGCACCGAGACCAAGCAGGATACGGAGAACATGAAGCCAACACAAACAACGCAAATTATCTACTCAAGCTCCACCATTTACACGCCCACTTATAGCGGTGATTCGGCGGGCTACACTCATACCGTGAAACATGTGCACAGTAACGACAAACCGATCGAGAACATTCAGATTGGACCCGGCTGGAATGCGGACAAGAAGCTTACAACCGAGGATCTCCCTGTTGTCTTTGATACTTTGTATAAGGAGCTGGAGCATCGATTGAAGAATGCAATTGACAGCTCGGATGAGATTGGATTGGATGGCTTATTGTGATGAGGATGTTCAGTGCTACGAAGACAGGAGGAAACGATGGATATTGATTCTGGAAAATGTGAACTTAAAAAGCTATGCTTATTTCTAATTCTATGCTATGTACTACTAGTATGCTAGATGTGGTTTTATTTGTTTCTAGTGAAGATCTTCCCAACCTATAATTGTGGTATTGACTCTGGAAGGCAATGTCGTACTCATCACTGTTACTAGAACAGTCAAACACACAGTACAAGCAATACACAACATGCATGTTATATTTACTTCTCGGTGAATATATAATGAATGGACTAGATACATAGCATCTACCCTAAGGGGCAAACCCCTTCCTTGAAAGGATCGCATGCAATCCTTGTTGAAAGGTCATATCCCACAATGAAAGCAATATCAACAGCCAAGACACAAAAGGAATCGCTTCCGCTTTGAAGGGCTACCTCCAAATCAAATCCAGCTCAAAGATGACCAGTGCTCACGGATGATCTTTGGGCCAACCTCCAGGGTATCTCATCCTCCAGTCCATGAAATTCTTGCGTACTGGTCACCTTTGAAAACGTAATAGCTGTTGCTATTGGGGGTCTTGAAGATGGCATCGATGGATTCGAAGCCGGATTTACCAATGCCAGGCCAATAGGTGGTGATTGGCTTAGGTCCTGCGACAACCTTGTTTTGCGAGTAGCTGTACTTCAAAGACTTGGTGCCTCGGAAGAAAAACAGAATGTCATCATTGGTAGGATCGGGAATGGCAGCATCCACAGTATCAAATCCAGCATCCACCAAAGGCTTCCATTCCGACTCGATAGTCTTGACACCACTGTATTGCATGGAGTCCTTCTGGCTGGCGGGGTCGATGATGGCTCGGAAATAGTGGCCCCCGAGAAACACGTAGAAGGAGTTGGGAACGCCAGGTACTGGGACCACAGCGTCGGCACTGCCCCAGTTTGCTTCTTTGAAGGTGGACCACTCTCCGCGCACGAAATATTGCCCTTTAATGAGCTTGTCGTTGAAGCTACTTCCAATTTCGATGGTGGCATACTTGAGGCCGGAGAAGAAGTAAAATTGCCTGTCTTGGCCTGGCTTGCGAATGACACCGTTGACCATTTTGTCAATTTATGTGATAGTAAAAGGTTTGAAGATTTGAAGACTTGAGGTTCTAGGATGTTTTCGATGATTGAGAGAGTGCAATCTGAATTATTTAGGTGGTATCTGTCCTCGTTTATATGCTATTCCTTCGAGCCTGACCATCAGGTAGAAGTTCTCCCCACGAGGACATCGAGATCTATTGCGTTACACAAAGTGGCCTTGCACTGTACATTGAACATCAGCGTGCATATATCTTGTCGCTACAATGAGAGTCCAGTCTTGTATTCCATGTAAACCGAGACCTCAGACATGATATATAGCAACGTGGACCAGTTATCTTTGTTCATAATAGGGTGTCGTTAGAAATCTGAGCTGATCTATCGATAATAACCACACCGTAATTGATCAGCAGCTGTAGGTGTTGTGTCATGGCTACCTGAGGAAGATATATGGAGTATGTATTCTATTGTCAGCTAGCCACCAACGGTATAGCCAGCCACGAACAGCACGGCACGGCCCGGAGCCTAAGAGGCCTGAGCAAAAGGCCTAGATAGACTGAATTATGCATCTCCCAGAGACAGAAACTGGGCTCTACTCCGTATGTTGTAGTTTGAAACTTTGGTCATGTTCTCAAATTTAGCGGCCATTCAGGCGAAATTATGCGAAGTACGCGGGAAGCTCAGGAAAAAGAAATGAGATGTTGCGACCAAGCGTCTAGTGTAGCCATTTTCTGCAGCCGATTTACCGTCAATTAGTGATGTGCTGTAGTAGCAAGAGCAGCTTACAAGACATCAACCACTTCGCACCCGTATGGAGATTGAACGCTAAACTCCCTTAACTCCGTGTTCGTTTTCCGGTCACAACTCCGAACATATCAGCAGTGCAATCCGCGGGTTATGCCCGGAGGCCGGACGAGAAGTTGAGGGCTGTAGTAATTAGCACGAGAGTTTCTCTAGACGGACCAAGTGATTGCACGAAGGTCGCAGTAATAACCTGGGAATATCTTAACTGCGAGAAATCCAACCCGACGGCGGGGTACTATCTTGAAAACCATAAAAGGCCTATCGCAACCCACCAAGTTCGACATTCAACCAACTATCTCATCTCCGCTAGAGCTTTCACATTCACCTTCTATATTTAACCATGCCTTCTCTACTTGGAAAGGAAGTCGGCTCTATTGGCTATGGCACCATGAGTGCGATCCTCCCGCAACCACCACAATTGGCCGACATTATGCTAACCATGAAATTAGGAATGACCTGGAATGCGCAGCCTCCATCATTGGAGGTGTGTTTTGAGACTCTTAACACGACCCTGGAACTGGGTGCCAACTTTTGGAACGGTGGTGAGCTGTACGGTACTCCAGAGTACAACTCTCTGCACTTGCTCAACAAATACTTCACCAAGTACCCCGAGAACGCAGAAAAGGTTGTTCTCAGTGTCAAGGGTGGCTTGAAGAAGGGCGAGCTTGTCCCAGATGGCTCGGAAGAGAACATCCGTCGTAGCGTAGACGAATGTCTGCGTCTGCTTGATGGCACGAAGAAGCTCGACATTTTCGAATGCGCGAGACAAGATTCCGCGTTCCCCGTTGAGAATACCATCAAGGTACTCGCAGAGTATGTCAAGGAGGGCAAGATTGGAGGAATTGGATTGAGTGAGGTTGATGCCGAGACGATCCGCCGAGCGTATGTGCCCCTTATCTTCGATTTTAGTATTTTGTGAAGACATTCCTATGGATAAACTCAATTCTAACTGCTTCTCTAGTCACAAGGTGCACCCAATTGCTACTGTCGAGGTTGAGATGTCCTTGTGGTCTACCGATATCCTCCAGAATGACGTTGCCAAAACCTGTGCCGAGCTCGACATCCCCGTTATTGCTTACTCGCCACTTGGCCGAGGCGTTCTGACTGGAGCTGTGACCTCGTTGGCTGATATCCCCCACGATGACATTCGGCACCACATGTCCCGGTTCCAGGAAGATAACTTCAAACACAACCTGAAGCTCATCAACGAGGTCAATGAACTTGCTACTCGCAAAGGTGTTGCTCCTGCCCAGATTGCACTGGCATGGATCCGGACCCAAAGTGGCAAGCCCGGCATGCCTACTATTATTCCCATCCCTGGGGGTACTACGAAGGACAAGGTGGTTCAGAACATGGGCGGTGCACAGGCGCTGACGGATTCCGAGATGGCTGAGATCGATGCTATTTTGGAGGAACACACAGTTTCTGGGCCTCGGTACTGAGGAGTTCCTGCAATATATCTTCATATAATTAGACGTGGATCATAGCAAATGAGAGATGTTTGTGATGCCAATGGGTTGTTGTATAGATCAGATCAAGTGTAGAGGAGTCAACATACAATCTCACATGTGATTGGTGACTGTCAGCATTGCAAATTCTTCGGTGATCATCATAAAGCATAGGGCAGTGAAGATATTCGGTGTTGCATTGTTCCATTTATAGGGTAGTGTGTATAGAGAGCAAAGGCAAGCTTACCATTGGGTTAGTGTGGTCCACCAGTAGAAAGGAGGTCTGTGCATTAGTAAATAAATCGACCTAAGGTTCTAGGAAATGATACATCGCATAATAAAGGTAGAGATGATCAGTCCATATTCTGTACATGTAAGGATAAGGACAATGGAAGAAGAAGACAAAGAAGGAGAGAAGGGTGTTCAGTTGTTGCCAGCTCGCGGCCAGTCACGTGACATATCTCATACTCACGCCTGAACACGTGATGGGATACGATGGCCTCCCTCGCGCGACATCTACGGCATAGCTAATAGACGGATCCAATTCGTTTGTTGCCACTTCCCTTTTTCTGTACGAGTTATACCATTCACTATGGCTTCACGAGACTCTCCCGGTTCTCCTCTCTCCTCGGTGGGATCCCTCGAGACTTCAGATCATGAATCCATGAAACATGAAAGCCGCGCGCATTCGCCCTCGATGTCCAACTTGCCGCCCTCTAAGCGTCGTCGCACCGGCGTCGCGTCCTGGGATCGCCAGACTCCTCTCTCCTCTGCCCAAGACGAAAACATCCCACCTCCGTCCCCGACTGCCTCGATCTCCTCCGATAGCTCTGGCGATATCCCCAACTCCCCCAGCATCCTCACCCTCCTTGGCACCAATCAAGAAGATGACTATAGCGGCCAGAGCACCGACCAGGTCACTATTTGTCGATGGGATGGGTGCGACGCTGGCGACCTCGGCAACATGGATGGGTTGGTGCAGCACCTACACAACGAGCACATCGGGAGCCGACAGAAACGGTACTCGTGCGAGTGGACCGATTGCACCCGCAAAGGTCAAACGCATGCCAGTGCTTATGCCCTTCGCGCACATATGAGAAGTCACACCCGCGAGAAGCCATTCTACTGCACTCTGCCTGGTATGTTGTCTCAGCAACAGACTCGAGTCCTCCAAACGGGGCACGATGTTGATAGACCTCGAATACTAACAATGAAATATAGAATGTGACCGCAACTTCACCCGCTCCGACGCCCTGACCAAGCACATGCGCTCCGTTCATGAAACCGACACCATGCGCCCAATTGACTCCATCTCAAAAGTCCACGGCACCCCGGCCAGCACTACTGGCACCCCAGCCTCGAAGCTGCAACGCATCCGCTTGAAGCTGACCCAGCCCAGGGAGCCGGGAACTGAGTCTGAGCCACACACCGAAGCAATCACCATTGTTCCAGCCCCCATCACAGCCGAAACACACGATCCCGAAGAGACCTCGATGCCAGAGTTTGGCCCGGAGCTCGACTTCGACGCATCGGAGCTCTCCCTCCCCCCGCGCGACCTCTACCGTCTTCTGCGTCGACAGATCGCGTGGGCTGGTAAGGAGGCTACACAGTTACAAGCCGAATGGGAGACAATTCGCCCGCAGCGCGAGCGCGCATGGCGCGAGAAGGAGGCTATCTTTGACGACCTCATTGATGCTGAGATTGGGCTGTTCAGTGCAATGGTTGGCTCAGTACCACCTGCACACCTAACTACCAGCCTGGAAAAGTTGCAACAGCAGCAGCAGCAATTCCAAAATCAACAGGACCAGCTGGCGAAGTCGGCAGAGGTGCCGACTATCGAGGGCAGCACTTAGGTGGCTTGCCTTTCCTTCTCTATCTTCTCTCTTCTCAACCTCCTACTTTGCTTCTCCTTTTCCCCTCAACCTTCTGGGGCCATGCGCGGTTAGCTTGGCCTTCAGTATTCCGTCACTTTGCAGTTACCATTTTATTTACTGTCCCCTCATATCCCGGCGTGCATGGCGTTAATGTGTACGTTTTTTATCTGTGTCTTCAAATCCACGCCAAAGAGAGGTGTCCTACAACGGAATGTATGTATAGCCTTTTTTGTTTCTTTCCTTTGTTCTTTTTTTTTTGTATGGCTTACAGGCCTCTCTCGCTCAATGACAGCTCACCACTGTGGGTGATCACTACACTTATATTGTCAATAATCATGATTTTCTTCTCGCATGGGCATTATAATGTAAGGCTAGATAGAAGAATCCATGCCACAGTTGTCAATACGGAGTTGTAAAACAGAATTCATACGTGTTCCTTATAAATGAGTTCTTTCTGGAGTAGAGGTGCTGATTTGTTTATATCGAAACACAAAATTATCACGACAACTCTTCTCTCGGTATCTCCCAGACGCCCTCTTCGATAGTTCGCTTAGGTGCCCAGACAATCCACTCAAAGTTCTTCGAAGCAGCAGCTTGCGGGCCATCGTCGTAGACCATGACGTCCTTGAAAGGAAGTACACCGCTATCGGGTGGTGTCGTTTTAACTTCGCCCCGAAGGATACGCGACATAAATGCCCGTATCGAAAACAAGAACGGTTCTGCATCAGGCGAAGTAGTAGTGACATGCGAAGCAGATATCGCCACACGCGGTGGTGGTCCGGATCTAGTGTACTGGTGTTCCAACTGAGCATTTTGCTCCTTTGTAAATTGCAACACTTTGTCCAAGCTCCTCCACCAGGTTAAGAGATGACTTCTTTCTTCAAAGAGGATCGGGGCGCGCATTTCTCCTTCCAATTGACATTCTTTCGTATCCTCGGACTTGGTCTCGTAGAAGCTGTCTCCAACGTAGAGGAGACGGGAGTCTTTGTCATACCATGTTAGGGAGTCTGGGGTATGGCCCGGTGTGTGGAAAATGGTGATTCCAGTAGGAACGTTTATAGACGTGCTCGGCGAGTACACGAAATCCTAGTGATCCTGAGCCCATATCCCGATGGTATAATATAGGCACTCTGTGTTGAACTTCTTAGAGGGCGAGTGGCAATAGACCTGCTTCCATGGACTGATGTGGCTTTTGTTATGTGCCGACGAAAGAACGGCCGTTATGGGTCCCGTTCTCTGGTCTACATTCTGATGTTGCGGCCCTGAGTCGGTTGGTGGGAGCAGACCAATGCCTAGGATGTGGTCGAAATGGCAGTGAGTGGCGATCACAAGGTAGGGCAGCCGGCCACCCGGGTTGATTGTATGCTTCAGGACGGTATAAATATTCCAGTAGGCGGGTGCTTTAGGGTCGTCTGAAGCACCGTGCTCGGTGTTCTTCCTATCACCAAGGGCTCGGAGCTTTCTAGATTCATCAATTGTCTGCTTGTATTTGAGAAGACATAGAGATCTACCCATTTTTGCTAGGAGTTGGGCATATCTTCGCATAAATATCTGGGTACTGATCATAGTTGTCGTGTTCCCGGAAAAGATACATGGATTGGTTCAAACACCGCACATGGAACGGACAAGACGCTGGAACCTCAAGATTGTATTCCGACATGATTAAGAACTACTTTGCAATAGATAAAAATCTAGGAGGCGATGATCAGAAGAGACAATACTGGAGAGATGAGTTATTTTCGAGAAGCTCGAGCCCTTCAACAGCCGGATGCACTCTTAGACTAACCCTATCTTGGTCATTGCCGACATGTAGATGTAGTTTGAGCGAACTACTTACACCTGCAGTCTATATGCAATGGTTTACAGATACTTGTAGGCTTAAAATGATAATTGATACTGAAGCCAAAAGACTCTACGGAGTAGTCTTACGTTGCTTCCAACCGGAAATATAAGCGCAGAATCTCAAATAACACGCTCCCCCTGAATGATCCCAGGAAGACTAGGAAACTAGTAGACGCCATTTCAGCCACTCCATAAGATACATGTGCTGAGAAAAAAAACAAACTGCTCTTTATTACGGATGCTTCCATAGGAAGAGTCCTGGTATGCTCACGAGAATACATGAAAAGCAAACTAAAGCAAAGGGGATATGGTATGATTGACTCAATCCATGGTTTTTAAAAAAAGACCTTGGAGAGCCAGTCCAAAACTCCCCCACTGGAGAATATTGGAACAAAAAAAGAAAGAAACCCCCAAACACGCCATGCAGTGATCATCCAAGACCGTAGGTCATGCTCATTTCGAAAATTCTTCTTTCTGTGCTTTTGGGGCTCACGCGAGGAAGTCGACGCCATTCGCAATGCAATGCAACAAGTTGCATCCATATGTACCTTCAACGAACAAAGAGCATAAGAGAGAGACGGAGGTCACCTTGACGAGGACAGTTCAAGGAATAGTGCGAGATGTCTGAAGGAGATGACAATAACAACGACTTCAAAACCTCGAGTCGAATGCAGGAGAAATACCGGAATAAAGTAGTCCAAGATTGGGAGTAGGAACATTGTAGAGGGAGTAGAGGGAGCAGAGATGGCAAAAGAAATACGCTGAGTGTCTATCATCAAAAAAGAAAAAGAAAAATGATAGGTAGATATCTGATATCAGAAACGCTGAACATGCATGTCATCAAACCGTGCTAAAGTGAAGTTGAACTGAAACAAAGAACACCTGTACCCATTGTGCTGATGAGATACGGAACTCCTCAAGCCGAGCTGCCATTAGAGGCCTTGGAAGCCTTACTAGCTTCCATGACCTTATTGAACATCTGCTGCAGCTTAGCACCACTGGCGTCTTTGTTTGGCCAATAATTAAGTGAAACGTAATCCCTGAAAGTCAAGTCAGAACGTGAACGGTAAATGTGATAGTAAAGAGGACTTACCAGAGTCGGACCTCCAAGGAGGGCATCGATTGCGAGCCCTCCAGGGTATTGCGAATGAATTCACCAATCTTCACAAGGGTAAGACGGAGTTTCTGAGCCCGCTCGTTTTTGCTTGGGTAATTTTTGGCAGTGATCATTGACACTTGCTTCAAGTTGGCAACAATAGGCTTGAAGAACATGAAGGCCATGTCTTCTTTATTAGAACCACCGTTCTCATGACCTTTGCGGCGACGGAGCTCATCATTAGAAGCGTCAGATAGACGATGGCGTGGACGATCAGTATCAAGACCAGACCGTGGACGAGAGTCATGGCTGGGAGTACTATGACGGTCTCCCTCCCGGCTACCATGCGTGTGGGGACGGGGCCGTGATCGATCAGATTCACGATGGCCCTTGCGGGGATTCTCAGGCCTGCGAGAGCTCGAGGGCGCCGGAGAGGCGGAGACACTGCCGCTACCGGAGACACGTGAGCCACGCTTATTGTTGCGGTGGTGGTTGTCAACTGCCCTTCTTGCTGTAGCATTGTTATTGTACTTGTTTCTCAAAACAGACATGAGGTATTCAGCTCGTCGGACAAGGTGGACAGCGCCGGGTGATTTTGTTGCCTTCTCCTCGGTCTGCAGGCGTTGTGTCTTTCGCTCCACTCGGTGTTCCTCCAGGAAGAATTTATCGCCGAGGCCAAGCTCAGTGTCGTCGCGAATCTGGGTCCACGCCCCAAAACCATGGCGTGCGATACCCACGAGAAGCATTCCGTCTTCACGAGCACCCCACTGGCAGCTGTAATCCGCCAATTTGGTAGCCTCGGGGAGCCGGAATGTTCTGAAATCAGCCAATGCTTTGATGATGCTTCGGATAAGGCGCATATCTGGTGGACGCTCGACAATAGTCCATGCATTCAGTCGCTTGACACCGTGGTGGTCGAACAAGACGGCCTTCTGCTCTTTCTTCGTGGGGTTCCTGCCTGATTGTTTCATGGCCTCTAATTGATCCAGACTTTCCTGGACGAGCGAGTTTGCCTTGTCGGTAATTTCATGAAGAGCATCGCGAACGGTGCCCCGATCGCGGGTTTGTAGCCTAGCATCCTCGAGGATGAGGTCTTCCGAGTCATCTAGATCGCCGTAGCGAAGGAAGGCTCGAGAAAGCGCACGGTATTCTTTTTCTCCGAGGGGGCGCTTGGGATCCAATGAGGCGCTCTCTTCCTCGCCATCATCGATACTGACTTGAGCTCTTGCGAGGCGTTTTGCCTTGCGTTCCTCTCGTGAATCTGTCGTGTCTGTGGGGGCGTGGCGCTTGCGAGGTCGATTTTGCTCAATGACTTCAGCAAGATAATGATCATCATCTTTGCGCTTTTCTTCAGCTTTGATCACCTCGAGCTGTTCCTTTGGAATGATGTCGTCCCAGGTGAGATCATCAACTTTGATGTCGACGAAGTCGAACGCTTTCAAAAATTCTTCACCACCATCGGCTTGGATTTGCTCGGCCTCTTCAGTTTGGTGTAATTCTGCGTTTGCAAGGACGGAATCGATATCAAGCTGCTCCAGTTTCTTCTGGTTGTCGGTTTGTTCGAACATCTTCTGACCGCGGCGCTTGAGGATCCGAGAAATATCGTCTGTGGAATTAGGCTCAGCAACCACACGAGCCATCTTGTTTTGCATCTCAGAGGCTTCCTTGTCTGTGACACCACGCTGGATGGTGATGAATTCGAGCAAGAGCTTGTTGCGAGCTCTTTCAATGACTTCTTCTTCGATCGTGTCCTTTGAGACAAGGCGGTAAACGCTGACAGGCCTTGTTTGGCCGATTCGATGAGCACGCGCCATAGCCTGCAAATCAGCCTGGGGGTTCCAATCCGAATCAAACAGGACGACAGTGTCTGCGGTCATAAGGTTGATACCGAGACCACCTGCACGGGTTGAAAGAAGGAATGCAAAGTCGGTGCTACCGGGGGCATTGTAATGCTCAATTGCCAAGCGACGGGCAGCAGACGGGATAGTTCCATCTAGCCGTTGATATTTGTAACCACGGTACTCCATATACTCACTCAGGATGTTAAGCATGCCAACCATCTGACAGAAGATCAAGACTCGGTGGCCATCAACGCTCAATTTGCGGAGGAGTTGGTCGAGAAGCATCATCTTTCCACTGCTGGTGATCATGGCTCGAAGAATATCTTCTCGACGGCTACTGCCTTCCAGAATCTTTGCTTCTGCGTTGGGGAACATAAATGGATGGTTGCTAGCTTTTTTCAATTCCATCATGATATTCAGAAGAGACTGTTTCATCCCCTTGTTCCCGTCGTTTAGCGCAGCGTAGTTTTTCGTCAAAATGTTCTTGTAGTATTCCAATTGGACATCGGAGAGCTCTACTCGAATGATTTTCTCGGTCTTCGGGGGAAGATCAGACTCAACTTTGGACTTAGTACGCCGCAACATGTACGGCTGAATGGCGTTAGTTAATTCTGCAAGCTTTTGAGATGCTGCCTCTGAATTCAAATCCATGTCGACATCGACTTCAATGAGGCCAGGATTGAGGAAATCCATTAGTGCTGAAAGCTCAGCAAGGTTATTTTGGATTGGGGTACCGGTGATCAAGAGGCGTGCCTGGCATTTCCATTCGAACAACTTGATATAAAGTTGTGAATCGCGATTTTTGAGACGGTGGGCCTCATCCACTGCCATGAATTGCCACTTGAACTGTCCAAGGAACGGCGAATCGTTCATTGCATACTCGTAAGTTGTCAATAGAACGTGGAACTTTGGACGTTTGGGATTCCCATCGACCATCAATTCATAATCACGCAAAACGGAACGTGCCTTTTCACTGCCGTTGTACACAACGTAGTTCAGATCCGGTGTCCAGTGATCAAATGTATCAGCCCATGCGGGCATAGTAGACAGAGGAACGATGACAATGAATGGCCCTTGCTGCCGCCTGACATGACGCATCCAGTTGATGAATGAAACAGTTTGTACAGTCTTTCCGAGACCCATCTCGTCTGCCAAAACCACATTGCGACCCCTGACCCAATTGAATGCCAAGAAGTTTAGACCTTTGACTTGGAAGTCCTTGAGTTCCCCATTCTGCAAGAAACTAGGGGTTCCGTGGATGGGCTCGAAGGATTTACGCGTGGCAACATTTATCTCGTTCTTGTCGGAGATGGGTTGTCGAGCGGTGCGATCCAAGAATCGGTCGATCTCACGCTGTGCGATCTCACTAACCAAGTCCTCGGGTTCCCAAGTACAGGAATCGTAGAATAGACGTTTCCATTTGACAAGGTATTCCGTGATGCCATCATCGCCATCGCGTACGCCAATGACTCGTTCAACCTTTTTGTAGTCCTCTATGGCCTCAACATCCCTTTCGCGATCGAGGTTCCACTTTTCACGGTCTTCAGGAGGGGCGTCGACACTATACTGCAACCGAATATCCTCATTCAGCACCTTGCGAACATAATTATCCACGCGTCGCGTGCTGCGGAAGTTGGAAATAGATTCATTGCTTTCCCATGTAGCATGATAGTGTGACTTGTCCTGCCACTTAATACAAAACTCAAAGTCGTTGCGGCCAAGATCATGAGATTTTG